ATTGGTTAGATGCTGATGAAGCCACCTGTTTGATGTGGACATATGTAGGTGTAAATGAAGTCAGATAAGAAAAAAGAATATTGTGAGCATTTCCTGAGGTTTTTTTAAATTTCACTTTTCAATGATGTGTATCTGAGACAGGTGAACGCAACATCTGAGGGAAATACATCTAAGCTGTAATCTTTTCATGTTCAGTTTTACAGTCTTACACTTCTGGCCTTTTTTGTTCTGTTTGTAATGTTGTTTGATGTTTTCTTGATTCAGTGATTGAAAATCAACTGTATTTATAATATTTAAAAAGTCATGAGAAACAAGTGATAGGAACCACACTCAAAAACATTTGTGGCTGGAACATGAGTCATAGTGTTAGCTGTGATGTCTGCCAGCTTGTAGGTGTTAAAAACATTTATTATGTAAGCTGGTGACATTTTGCAGTGCTGGGGTTGTTACATATACCAGTCTTTCTAATCTGGCTTTTTCACTTCTGTTGAAGTCTTTTTAATTTCTTGTCTTAAATATTTTTTTGTTTTTTAGTGTTGCTTTAACAGTCCTTTGTGTTCCACACAAAATGACAAAAGTTTGGCATTTGGAGCAAAGCTCAGGTCATCACCCTGAATATAAATCTAAATGATAGCACTTCCAGATTTTTTAACCTTATTTGTGAAAGTGTTTACAGGTATAAATAGAGCAGGAATACAATCAGTGCCTGTTGAAATAAAAGTATATCTTTCAAAGTTTTTATTTGGACATATTCTATTTTTTGCGGTTTTAGTACCTGGCAATTTTTAAACAGAGATGTTGGAGATCTTGTCAAGATTGATGGAATTATTAACACACAAAAGTGCCATTAGGTTTTCAAATAAAACTTCTGACTGGCAACAGTTTTATTTTTCCCAAACAATTCATCTTTTGGCTTCATGTGTCATATTCAATATTCAAATTTAAAAACTAAATAAAATATAAAATAAGTGTAGGGAAAACCTTTTTATTTTTCTTGTTTCAGAGAAGAGTGTTTTTTTCTTGTCCTAAAATTAGCACTTGCAGTATTACACGTATATGCAAGACAAACATTACATTACCCATTTCACACAATAAATAGCAAAACCTTTCAGCAAAGTGAGACAAACTGTGTACAGATGGCAGAAGAGGTGAATATTTTTTTTATTACTGCAGTGTGAAGCTATTCAGCCAAACTGATAAAAACACTTAAAATTAACTCCTGCTGAGGTCTTCTTACTTTCACTTTCACTTTAATGCTCCTCGTGCTTTCATACTATTGTACATAGGTTTAATTGTTGTATATTTTCCCTGAAGTGTCCTTTTTTCTTTTTCTTATTTCTTCTGTTATACAAAGTTCAGAGAGAAAGGAAATGAGTCTCTCACATTTCACTTTACACATTTTTATAAATAGGTTTTAGAATCTAATAGATGGAGGGAATTTTAAAATAATAAAAATAAATGTGTTACAAAAAGAAAATAGAGCAAAAAGTCAGCTTGTTTTTTGTGTTTTCTGATGATTTTTATCTTGAAAACAAAAAAAGAAATACTTTGTTACTTCTGTTGAGATAAATAAAAAAATGTCTTTCTGTAAACCAGTGTTTTGTGTTTTTCTTGACATGTTTTTCTCCATCTTATTTTACTGTCCTGGTTATAAAAATAATTGTGATAAATTGGCATCACTTTTCTGTGAGAATAATCTGAGCGCACGTCTCCTGTTGAGCGTTTTGTAAATGAGCTTTAATGTGACTGTTCAGAACTTCATTCAGTGTTTTTTAAAGAGCTGCACTGTTTTGAAAATGCAGTGCTTCGATTGCAGAAAGTGCAGGCGTGAGTAGCAAACCCACAAAGATCTGGGGTTTGCATCAACCTGCAAATTTCCAGAGTGCAGCTCTCTCTTCAAAGGCCTTCTGGGTTCTGCACTTTTGCATCCTTGAGATCTTTGTTTTTGTTGAAGTGAAGCACGAGAGGATGAAGAAAGATTTTTGCTGAACTAAAAGACACAAAATCTGCTCAAAATTAAGGTAAGAGCTCAAGCTTCATTTTCAAATTTAGTTTCATTTGTTTCTTTTTGTTTTATCTTGTAAAATGGATTTAATGTGGCTATCCTTTCTTTTCAAGCTTACTAGCAGAGGCACCAGTTTAAGAGCAAATACAGATTAGTAGTGTTTCAGAACGAGCTGCATAAAAGAGTCCAAGTTAAAACCATTTAAACAAATAATACGAAAAAAATGTGTCAAACTCTGTTTCCAAGGCTTGATGTGTAGAATAACATTAATTTATGATGTTAAAGACATAAATTCACTCATTTTGAGATGTGAATGTATTTATTGAGATTAAATACAACAATATTAATGACAGAACTAAGAATCAATAATTTAGGTTTTGGTCTCAGTGTGTTGTTTGGAGTAATTGATTAACTTAGTTTTAAGCAAAAAAAAA